GGGTGCGTCGGCGCTGCACAAACGGTGAAGTGAGGTGTTACTGTGGTGGTGTGGTGAGGACTCTGGCGCAAGACTAATACACTACGTCTATTTCTCTTTTTCCACGCTTCATATTATTGTACAGTACAATATACGTTGTTGTATATATTAAGGAGAGTGAGAGGTGATCATTTTCTATCAATGAGAGGGAGTGAGAGGGGGTGAGTGTAAAATGACATGGCGATGAGGTAACAAGGAAAAAATGAGAGGTAGTAAAATGGTACACCCCTTAGCCTTTATGTATTTATTATGTCTTCCATGTTTACCTCAGAGAAAAAGAATCGATAGTGGTCCTTGGAATCTCATGCAAATGAGATAAGCAGAGACATATATCGACATCAATACCTTCATTAATTGGTGTAAGGAGGGTGTAAACAAAAGCAATCCATAAAGTAAATATCATGTCAAATTGATATCATATTCCTTATTTTGAATTCATTGCAACTTAGTGGTAAAAAAAGAATCCTAAAATAGATATCATGTCAAGTTTCATATCTTATTCCTTATCTAAAGACATTGTGCACAAATGGTGCGGAAACTCATGGTAGCATTTGTATTCATTTCCCTACATTCCATGACCCATGTGTTTTAAAGAGGTTTTATTTTTTTGCTTGCTGCATTATCAACATTGCTCTCAAAATTAAAACCAAAACTCCCATATATTGTCATCCTTAACTAAATCTAAAAAAATCTCCAAAATGGCATGTTATGTCGACTAAGTTTGATTTGGAATTCAGAAAGTTGAAGGTTTTTCTCTTTTAAACACTTCTGAATATTAAGAGTATTGAGTATACAAGTAACATACCGTTGTCTATATTTAAGGTTCTTATCTTATGTTTGTATTCTACATGTTTTTATATTTTACATGTGTAGTGGTTGTTTTTTTTTCATTTGGTGATAGATAACTGTGTATGGTTTGGTTGAAGAGAAATACATATATGTTGTGTCTAGCATATGTTATGAACATAATTAGATTTCACATAAAAATGAACGATATTTAAATTATGGATGAAATTGTCATAGAATAATTATGACAAATCTATATAAATGGTGTCTATGGTTTTTCAAAATATCAAGTTCGGTCTTTAATTTGTGTTTGTGTTGATGTGTTAAACGGATTTGTGCTCATATATATGTGATTTATTTTATTCATGTTTGTTTGTGTCATTAACTTAAATTTAAAACCATCAAAAACAGAATTCCAAAGCTGGTTTACAAGAATTTTGTGTGATTAGTAGTTGTGACGGTGGACTGTAGTGTTGGTGGATGGTGGTGGTGAAAGGTAACCGGCAGAGATGATGGTGGACGGTAACCGCCAACCAATATAGAAATTAAAACCATTGAGACCTTCCATAAGGCTGAAAAAAGTTAGAAACTAGACATTCTGAAAAAACAAATGGATGATTTATTAAGATTTGTCAATAATTATTTTAGACTTTAAATGTAGCAATTGCAACTTTTGGACTAGGTTTTTAGATCAAGAAACACTCCAAGGACGAAGTATGAAATATAGTCTTCTAATAATTAATAATAATCAATAATTGTTGGTAGTAACATCCTTTTCATCCGTTCTTGATGTTTGCCTAATATTAAAAATCCATATTAATATTTAATTGTTATTTAACAAACATTTATATTTAAAATAGAAAGTAGGCGTGCCGAAAGAGACTCGTGATTTGGTATGTTTGGTTGCATAAGATATAATAATAAAAGGTAGACTATACAATTTAATGAGCTAAGCCCAATAAAATAAATAAATTATATTTGGCGGAAATAGAAACAATATATATATATATATATATATATATATATATATATATATATATATATATATATATATATATTGATTATTAGACTCTGTAACAAAAAAAGTCAACATAGTACAAACTTCAATATAATAATAATAATAATACTCATTATAATATAGTTGCTACCAACTTTGGAAAATAAAAGAGTATTTTAACTAATAGTTTTAAATTTAACAAAACCAATGAAACATATATTGCTAATAATAAAAGAAGAAGAATTACATTAAAAAATGGTTACCCATCAATCTTTTTTTTAATGAAGACAAAATGACCAATTAGTCCTTTTATCTTTAACATACTTACAAGTTGAGCACTAGACTCACAAATTCCGATTTTGGAAAGGTGACCATATGATATATAGTGAAAAGATTTATTTAAAGGGATAATGACTTGAAAGGGTAACGAACTTTCGACTTTGTTCACATTTAGTCACTAACCTTTTTTTATTTATCTATTTGCCACTGAACTATTGAAACTGTTCGCATTTTACCCTTATGACCGGCTGTTACCGGTCATAAGGGTAAAATGTGAACAGTTTCAATAGTTCAGTGACAAATAGATAACGAAAAAAAGTTTAGTGACTAAATGTGAATAAAATCGAAAGTTCGTTTCCCTTTAAAAAAGTTCAATGACTAAATGTGAACAAACTTCCTCTTGTATTATGTTTTAGCAAATTATTTATTTTTATTAAATTGTAGCAACATTTGTTGATGAAGAAATCTATGAAATAAAAAAAATAAAAAAACAAAACCCCGAAAAATATATTAGAAAAAAACGAAAAACCGAAACCGAAATAAAAAACCAATGGTTTGGTATTTTCCAAAATAAAAAATCACAATTTTCTAATCTGATTTTGGTTTTACAAAAATTCAACTTTCGGATTTCCATATCTAAATCTCTCTCCCTTTCTATAATCGAAAAATGATTATAAAACCAAAAAGGGAATGAGAAAGCGCTTAATTCGGAATTTTCTATCCAAAACTCCCCCTTGTGACATGAGAGAGAGAGAGAGATGTAAACACCTCTATATAAAGTGGGTTCATACCACATATAGAGGTGTGCTTGAGAGATGTAACATTGAGAATGTTAATGTGTGTTAATTATGTAGATTTAGATTTAGATCCTTTTTGTAAACACCTTTCATAATCGAATGCATCTCTTAAACACCCAAATCACCGTGTTCGTTGTGTGTTATTTAATTCTGCATGTCAAACCAATGGTCATAATTCACATCAGTGAGAATGGTTCATTTTTTTGTAAAACCAAAATCAGATTGGAAATTTTGATTTTTTATTTTGGAAAATGCCAAACCATTGGTTTTTTATTTTGGTTTCGGTTTTTCGTTTTTTTAAATATATTTTTGGGGTTTTGTTTTTTTTATTTCATAGATTTCTTCATCAACAAATCGTGCTAGAATTTAACAAAAATAAATAATTTTGCTAAAACATAATACAATAGGAAGTTTATTCACATTTAGTCATTGAACTTTTTTAGAGGGAAACGAACTTTTGATTTTGTTCACATTTAGTCACTAAACTTTTTTTCATTATCTATTTGCCACTGAACTATTGAAACTGTTCACATTTTACCCTTATGACCGGTAACAACCGGTCATAAGGGTAAAATGTGAACAGTTTCAATAGTTCAGTGGCAAATAGATAACGAAAAAAAGTTTAGTGACTAAATGTGAACAAAATCAAAAGTATGTTACCCTTTCAAGTCATTATCCCTTATTTAAAAAGCATAATAAAATAGTGGGATAATGACTTGAAAGGGTAACGAATTTTCGACTTTGTTCGCATTTAGTCACTAAACTTTTTTTCGTTATCTATTTGCCACTAAACTATTGAAATTGTTCACATTTTACCCTTATGACCGGTAATAGCCGGTCATAAGGGTAAAATGTGAACAATTTCAATAGTTTAGTGGCAAATAGATAACGAAAAAAAGTTTAGTGACTAAATGTGAACAAAATCGAAAGTTCGTTTCCCTCTGAAAAGTTCAATGACTAAATGTGAACAAACTTCCTCTTGTATTATGTTTTAGCAAATTATTTATTTTTGTTAAATTGTAGCAACATTTGTTGATGAAGAAATCTATGAAATAAAAAAAACAAAACCCCGAAAAATATATTAAAAAAAACGAAATACCGAAACTGAAATAAAAAAGCAATGGTTTGGTATTTTCCAAAATAAAAAATCACAATTTTCCAATCTGATTTTGGTTTTACAAAAAAATGAACCATTCTCACTGATGTGAATTATGATCATTGGTTTGGCTTACGGAATTAAAGAACACACAAAGAACACGGTGATTTGGGTGTTTAAGAGATGCATTCGATTACGAAAGGTGTTTACAAAAAAGGATCTAGATCTAAATCTACATAATTAACACACACTAACACTCTCAATGTTACATCTCTCAAGCACACCTTTACATGTGGTATGAACCCACCTTATATAGAGGTGTTTACATGTCTCTCTCTCTCTCTCTCAATCTCTCATGTCATAAAGGGAGAGTTTTGGATAGAAAATTCTGAATTGAACGCTTTCTTATTCCCCTTTTGGTTTTATAATCATTTTTCGATTATAAAAAGGGGGAGGGATTTAGATATGAAAATCCGAAAGTTGAATTTTTGTAAAACCAAAATCAGATTGGAAAATTGTGATTTTTTATTTTGGAAAATATCAAACCATTGGTTTTTCATTTCGGTTTCGGTTTTTAGTTTTTTTTAATATATTTTTCGAGGTTTTGTTTTTTTTATTTCATAGATTTCTTCATCAACAAATGTTGCTACAATTTAACAAAAATAAATAATTTGCTAAAACATAATACAAGAGGAAGTTTGTTCACATTTAGTCATTGAACTTTTTATAGGGCAACGAACTTTCAACTTTGTTCACATTTAGTCACTAAACTTTTTTTCGTTATCTATTTGTCACTAAACTATTGATAATGTTCACATTTTACCCTTATGACCGGTAACAGCCGGTCATAAGGGTAAAATATAAACAGTTTCAATAGTTCAGTGGCAAATAGATAACGAAAAAAAGTTTAGTGACTAAATGTGAACAAAGTCGAAAGTTCGTTACCCTTTCAAGTCATTATCCCTAAAATAGTTATTATATTTTCATAAAACACATCATAAAAAGAGTGATTAATAACAATTTGCACATACTTGTGATTGTGAATAACATAAACAATAGAATTGGAACATATGGAAACATGGTTAATTAATGATGTGAATGAAGGGAGTAGAAGAGAGTACACCACATCAATAGAGTATAATAGATACAGAAGTGAAATAATAACAAACACCAAATAGCCAGCCACTATACACACGCACATATAATACCATAAGAGTATATTATATGTATATATGGATACCTTACTTACATCCTTGAGTAGCCTCTTTGGTCTTCGTATTGCTCCATGAAACCATCATTGAACTTCTTGAAACTTTCCATGATTGCAGGCATGTCCTCCTCAGCAGGCAAGATAGTTGTCCTCAGATGGAAAACCCTAATACAATTTTTTTTGTATAAGTTTTGTCCCTAGTAAATAAAAAGACAAAAGGGTATAAATGGCAAAAGAGAAAAGTAAGGTACCCTTCTTTTTGGCCAAAGCCTGAACCAGGGACAGTAGAAATGCCAGTGGCTTCCAAGAGCTTGAGGCAATAGAAAACATCAGGAACTTTTCCAGCGCTTTTTGCAGCTTCAATTGCTTTTGGGGGTAACTTTATTTGTGGGAACGAATACATGGCGCCTAATTGATTTCAAATTTTATATTTATATAAATAAATAAATAAATATCAAGAAATATGAGGTCAGAGAGCAGTTTTATTGGAAAATGGCTAACCTTCAGTGAAATTACAAACAACATTTTTGCAACTGTTGAATCCATCTGTCATCATGTGTGCTCTCTTCCTTAGAGATTCAAGGATACCCTTGCTGCATTTATTTACCAACAGATTGTCTAAAATACCCCTCCATAACAACAACAACAGTTTGTGAATGATGAAAATTTGAAAATGGACAATTAGGTAATTTTACCTCTCTCTAAGAAACTGCTCATACGAGATATCACCAGGCTTTGGGGGGCTCACCATTGTCCCCATCTATTACAAAATCAAAAATCATTAAACTCTGGGAATTAAAAAGTAATTAAAAAAATGATTCAACTTACAAATATCTGCCCAGGAACATTGGGACTGAGTGAAATCGATGCAACCTTGTATATTTCATCAACTGTCTGCAACATCATATTATATGCAACACTTTGTCAGGGGTATTAATGGAAAAACTAAGAAATTTAAGGGCTAATAACGTAAATTGAATATTAAACGAATTTGTTTTTTAAATTTCAAAATGTGGGTTCGGGATTGGGAGTTTTGTTGGTAAGGGTAGAATGGTACATTTGAATACAAACTTTCCCAAACTCATACGGATCAAACACATTGGAAAGTTGAGTAATGAAAATTACATTAATGTCCCTTGAAATAATTAAAAAATATAAACCTGGGGAGGGATGTTTGTCATCTCAAAGTATCCACCACGTTGTCCACATTCACCTAAGAATCCTTTGGACACAGTGTGGAAAGAAATAAGCTCTAGCTCCTTGCTAATTGCTCCACCCATGTCAAACAATACCTTCAATTCAAATCACACAAAAAAATAAATAATTAAATAAACAAGAAAAAACCTAAAATACAATAATCTTCTAGATAGACATTCTGAATACCTTTCTAGAGCTTATAAATGGTCGTTCATCTTGATAAACATTCTGCTGATAAACTTCATCTCCAAGCAAAACCAAGCTTTCTTGGTGACAAAATCTGAGTATTTGTTGCAGGTTATCCACACTAAGACATTGACCAGTTGGGTTTCCAGGGTTTATGATCACCATTGCCCTTACCTATTCATAATCATAATTATAAATTTCTTTTTTTTTTTAAATAAAAATAAAAAAAATAAAAAGCATACAGTTATTCCTTTGAAACGGGCTTCTGCAACTGATTGGCGAAGGTTGTGGATATCAAGACCCCAATTAGCAGTCTCTTCAAGGAAATATGGAACAAGAGAACCACCATACAGAGATATGGCAGCTGAGTACAGTGGATACTGAGGGACTGGAACCAAAATCTACAAAAAAAAAAAAAACAAAAGAGTTTCTTTTTTTTAAAAAAAAAAAAAAAGATATTTGAGACAATGGAAGTATATTGAAGGTAAAAAGACAACATACCCCATCACCTGGACCACGAATAACTGTTTGCAAAATCTGCATTACTCCTTTACTGGCACCATCAGTGAGATATATGAGTTCTGGATCACTGTCATTAATTAAAAAAAAAAATCGTTACTTCAGGGATTAAATATGTGCAAAAGACAAAAACATCAGGGTAAAATTTACGATTATGACCTTGGATACCCATCACGTCTCTCAATGAATTCAGCAACTTCTTTCCTTATTCCAGGAAGGCCACGAGAATCACTATAAGCACCTAAAGAATCAATAACACAATGTTACTCCAAAATAAAGAAAAAAAAATGAAAAAAAGAAAAGATTTTGACTTTATTAAAAGGGTATCTTTAAAAAAATACCTAGACCCCCTGATGTATAAGAAAGATACAGTTTAGCTTTTGCAATTGCATCAGCTGGGAACAGAAGTCCTACATTTGGATCATCAAGAAGAAATGGAGCCTGGCAAAGGGCAACCACCTGGAACAAAATGTATATGTTTGGTTTGTTAGATGAAGGGCATTTATGTCAATTTATGTTTAATTAGTACAAACCTGGCGAGGGAATGTTAGAGGCTTCTGTCCCAAAGCATGAGGATTCCCCACATTTGTGAAGATTATCTGTAAGGGAAGAGTTAAAGTTTTCAGCCATGACAAAATTTTAGATAAAGGGTATTTATGTCAATCTTGTTTAGGTATGGGTCCCATTCAACTCTTTGTCTTTATCACACATTAAACAATAACACACACTTCACATAAAGCATAAAGCTTCTTAAAGGTTTTAAATCTTAATTGATTTAATGGTTTATATTTTCTTTCCACATCATTTACCACAATGCATACATGTAATAGTCATGTTAGTTTGTCCTTCTCTATAACATCCTATTGTTTATTTTGATAAAGTCCCACATGTGATGTAAGAAAGATTCAGATATACTCTTGAAATTTATATTATTTGTAAAAAAACTATGTTCTGTTTTTTCTCAAATAGAACCTAGAACTGAAGATATAGTAAGATTATAAGTTACCATGTGGAATTTACATGTTATTAATTCCAAATGAATACCATTCACTCAAGAATTACATCTACCAAAAATAGAATTACCTTCTTGCCCTCTTTTTGAAGCTCTGAAGCACGAAGATACAGCTCACCCCTCACAGCATACTGGGCCTTCTTGACATTCTCATTAATTTGGTCATAGTCCAATGATTTTTTTGACATGGTTCGTGCTTCAATCACCAGTGATTATAAATCAGTAGTAGCCTGAAATTGTTAACATAATCACATGAATACAATCAGCAACTCAGAAGTCAGAACAAAGATGAAAAGAGAAAAGTTAACTAGAACGTATTATAGTGTAGAACGAGAACTACAAGTAGAAACTGGAATGCTTGCAAAAAAATCCATATCAATCTTTGTATTTGAAAACTAATATGTTTGACTTCATATACGAAGTGTATTGAGTATGCGAATCAAGAGGATGATCAGAATTCATATAGCTCGATCTGAAATATGATTATGGTCGAATTCAAGCTCCAAACAACAAAACAAAGAGTTCTCTGAAGCGATCGGAAACATGAAGTTAATGTATCAGAGTCGTAGCAGAAGAAGACAAGATTCATGCATCAAAAAATAAATAAATAAAGAAGAATGACCAAATGAAGATGAACACATTCAATAGCAAATACAACATCAATTCCTAAATCGGCAAACCACAAAACCATTAACCAAACAAAATCGAAAAGTAGCATACTACAAGATAACATAGTTCATTCATGCCGATTTCAAACAGATCATCAATTAGAAGCAAATGGTACCTTCGTTGATGCAGTGGAGCTGGTATACGTGATGAACTACGGTTGTAACGGACTATCTGCTTGAACCCTTTTGAGAGAGCAAGCAGAGAAATTGGAACAATGGGGAGAAGTGTGTGAGTCACCGCTTGTAGTATAGAAAAAGGGTGAGAGGGGGTGGAGGTGGCAAGTGTGAGGATGTGACAAAATATAGTAAAGGGAACATTGAGAGCCACTGAAACCGGGTAGATTTTGTGGAAATTATCAGGGTTTGTTTTGGGATAAAGTTGAGTGGTACTAGTGTGGTGGTAGTTGAAACTTCGAATTTCTGGTTCATATTGATTGACCATCTCCATTGTCTTAACCTCACCTCTTCTTCTGGAGGAAAAAATCATCCCAATCCAATAATGGTAGATATTGCCAAAACATGTGATAACCATTATGATAAGTTGATAACCATTTAAACCTAAAACTATGGCTTGTTATAACCGGTTTGAATTGTAAATTGGGTCTGAAAACAGTTACGAAATAAGCTTACATAGAACTTTTTTTTAAACTAGTAAAAATAAATATTCTAACCTTTAATATTAAATGAAAAATATTATGAAACTTTTTTAGAATACCATAGATCTCTATGGGTCATCATTGATATATGATTATTAAAGGAGAAATTAGGGTCTAAGTATTGGGGCTTAATGCAACCAACATATCAATTAAAACAATTTGCATATTGGAAGTAATAAATCAAAAATTATTATCAACCCCAAACCACGGATCCAATTAGAGAAGATTTTACCTACAAAAACAACCATATAGAGTGCAAAAGCATATACATTTGATGTGTATGAGATCATAATTTATGCAGATTATATCTATAATGTATCCACACAAACCAATTCGAGTGATTGTTAAGATCTCATTTTGATAAAAGATTCATTCTTTTTTTTTTTCCTTTTGCTTTGGTCATATAAAATTCACATAAAGAAAGGGGGCTGGTTTTGGTCTCAGGTGGAAAAGATTATTGTTTGAAACTATTCATTGAATTGAATCTTGGTTGGTTAATTCTTTCCTTTAACACTTCTTTGGACAAGACATTCGCAAGCTTTTTATTGGCCCAACAATTAATACAAGCCCAAGGTTAAAATGGAACTAAAGCATATTTTATTAATTACAACATAAATTCTTTTATTTAACTATTTGTTCTAATAAATAACTATTTGTTTTTTCTTTATTTTAAGCTAATAAGTAATAACTTTTTTAAATAAAGATTTATTATTTATTCCGGATCATTAAGGCTTTTAGTGTATGACACTGTAGTCTCAAACATAATTAGTACTATAGTTAATATATTTATTTCTTATGTACAATTTTCAATAGACTCCCGCTTGTGTAATTTTCAATAGACTCCCGCTTGTGTAAGCAATACAAAATACAATTATATAGATAATATTAGTTGTCTAACCTTTTATGAGTTTCTTATCTCCATAATCTTCTATAACCTTGTAATTGATGAATATGTTGTTATCTTTAATATCCCTTTTTATGATGTTATGAAGTACAAAGCACAAATTTAATCTACTCAATTGCTTCGGTATGCAGAAAAAAAAAAAGTTCAAACTTCAATTTAGACAGTATGTGTATGGCCACACACTTCATCATATATTTGATTCTACCAAAAGGGCCTAAAACCATAAATCAGGCTCCAAACTTGGAGGAACAAGCTTCATTTTAACTATATGTCCTCATTGTAAGTTTTAAGTCATAACTCATAGCAACCTTTATAACTTTAATGTTTCATGAGAACTATACTCATTTAGAGCTCAACATAAATCTCATTTTGAAGGCTAATAGAAACCGAACATATCCTACTCAAGATTCACTCAATGACGTTGATCCATAAAGTGCAATCTCATAATAGGCCACTCCAATATTCAATCTCATGAATACCTATAAATGGTTTGGATCTTCACTAAGGTGTTGTTTGTTTTTTTGAAGCAAAAATTCATGAAGTCTGCGGACCACCTCTACAACCCTCTGCAATAGAAGATGTGGACCAAACGGCTGCAGACTGTAATAAGAAGGGTGTTTGTTTTTTAACATCTGCATGCTGCTGCCGATATTAAAAAATTAAAATAAACTGATTTTATAAATCGAAATAGTTTTTTAATACCGAGAAATTAATAATGTATGACATTTCACCAAGAATTTATGATATTTTAGCAAAAAAATAATGATATCTCAACAAAAAATAAAGATATCTTAGCAAAAAAATAATGATATTTCATCAAGAAATTATTATTATTCAATATAAAAAAAAAGAATTCAACAAGACTAAACAAAAAAAACGAAAACACACACACACACACACACACATATATATATATATATATATATATATAAGATTTCAGCAACATATAATCAAGATTTCAGCAAGAAACAAGAAGAAGCAGAGGTTGGAAGAGGCTGGAAGAGGCAATACAAGTGTTGCATCAAACAGAACATGCGCAGATGTTTTTACTCTGAAGACTTCTAAAAACAAACAGTTCCAAGATTAAAAGTGTTGCGTGTGTTGCGCGGCACAACAATAAGAGGTCTAAAGAGGTTTTTTTTACAAAAAACAAACAGCACCTAAGAGACATCTACCTATCGATGTCTCTAAAAACTTCACAATAGTATTGCATATAATCACTCTCATAACCATAACTAACTAAGGACTATTTATAACAATTCAAGGAAAATAAAATATGTAAACATGGAACACATTTGTGTTAGAAGATGAAATATTGCTTAAGAATATTAAAACATAATGTTAGGGAAAACAAACGATACTTGTCAAGACTCGGAACAAATCTGATGCCACTTGCCAAGTTCTGATGACCCTTGTTAGGAATTAATGTGGATAACAAGCAAAACTATAAGCACATAAAGACACAGTATTTACGTGGTTCGGTCAAAGTGACCTACGTCCACGAGCAGGAGGGGAGTATTTTTTATTTTAGAGTTATCAAACATAGGTTACAACTTACAAGTACAATTCACCAGAGATTCGTCCTACTTACTAAGGATACAAGATACAAGACACAAGACCTCTCAACTGACTCTGCATGCATCCCTATTTATACTTGAGGGATCATACCTAAAAACCCTAATAGGCCAAGCCCATTTGTAACATCCATAAAGTTCGAGCCAATTTAAAACTTTTAAAAACATTTAAAACCATTCAGTCGTTACAATTTGTTTTTAAAATAGTTTAAACATCAGAGTTCCCAGAAATCATAATCATCAACCGAGGAAGTGTACGGTCACGCCTTCGCCTTCCCGCGGTCATCCGCTGAACCTGAAACAATAAACTGAAACTGTAAGCTCGAAGGCTTAGCGAGTTACCCCCAAAATACCCATACACACAACAATACACATCGGGTTGGAATACCCCAGGCCCTCATCCATCGGGTTGGAATGCCCACATACTACGAGTCTAATCATCCTCGGGATGGAATACTATCGGCCCACAACCATCGGGTTGGAATACCTACACACAATACATATATAACAGATACTATGGGTCCAATCATCCATCTGGATGGAATACCCCAAGCCCTCAACCATCCGGTTGGAATGCCAACATACTATGGGTCCAATCAACCATCGGGTTGGAATACCCCAGGCCCTCAACCATCGGGTTGGAATGCCAACATAACCAATCAAACATGTTCACCTATATCAGATAATCATATAACAGTCTATAAAGACAACATACCGGGGTCCTATCATCCTCGGGATCGAATACCCTCAACTACCAATCAATCATGTGCACATATAATAGGTAATCTCTTACCAGCATACAAACAGTCAGACCAAACTATAGGTCGTTAAGCATAACCACATCCGATCTACCAGGATACCGATCTGACAGATCATACTAGCATATAACCATCCTATCTACCAGGATACCGAGCTAATATATCACAACAGTAACAATCCCAATTAACAAATCAAAGGGTCGGCCTTGGTGCCTTAGACCCTTGAGTACAGTGAGGATAACTCATCTCGCAAGTAGTGTCGAAGTATTGAAAAACCTCTGATCACTATCTCACCGGAAATCCCGAACTATTCACATAAAAAAATACCAAGTCACTATCCATTCTCTTTATTGGGCCAAGGCCCAATTCCAATTCCATAACCTTGAAAGTCCTTATACAAAGCCCATTATTGGCCTAATTTACCAAATTGGACCCTACTCCCTAATTGGGCCTAATTCCAAGATCCCTTATCAAAACTTGGCCCAAAACATAATATCCATAAAGTCCAGCAAAGGCCCAAATCCAATTAGTCCATAAACAGCCCAAAACCCGAAGCCCAGTTGCCAAAGGCCCAACAGAGGACGTACGCGGGGCGTACTCCCCCTGATGTTGACCACCATCGGGGTGGTTGACTCAGTACGCTGGGCATACTGGATTTACGCTGGGTTTCACCAAAACCCAAATAAGTGCTTAATGGCTTAAGCACTTAAGCCCAAACTCCAGATCCATCAACCAAATGTGCCATAGGACTATAAAGTCTCGAACGTTATCACTTTGGACATCCAAAAAGTTCTTAACACATGGTCTTAATCCATTAAGACCTTCTTACTTCATGCATGAGACAAATCTAGCTATTTGGACACCATTTTTATCACTTAGGACCTCCTCTAAGGTCTGAAAGGACAGCTCATCTCGTCCAGATCATAACATGCACCATTTTGGGACTTTTGGGACAAGAATGCTTCCATAAAGCTAAAATGACTAGATCTATCTCATACAAGTGTAAAGTTCCAAGCTTTTTACCTTCTGGAGCTTCTAGGGCACAAACCAACTTCGGATCTACAAGATTGATCTTCTTTTCCAACTCCTTGATGCAACACCTTCTTCTTAAAACACTTAAGAAACACTCAAGAAGCTCAAACACTCAAGGAAATGGCTAGGGTTCTCTCAAAACGGATAAGGGAGGTGTGGAGGCTGAAAGAGATGAGAGGGAATGGTCCATAAGGTTCTTAAATACTCCACAAACCCTAAAATTTAGGGTTCCATCCTGGCATACGTATGCCGAGCATACTAGGGTGCGCCCTAGTACGCTTAGCGTACCACATGTACGCTCAGCGTACTTACTTAAACTTTGAAACTTACCATTTTTCCACTAGGGCCTCCTTTTTCCTCTTCCTTCTAAACTAAGGGCCAAAAATGCCCTAATTAAAATCCGAGGGATGAGTTTGAAGCTACTGGAAAAATGGGATGTTACAACTCTCCCCCACTTAAACTAGGCTTCGTCCTCGAATCCTGCTGCGGCGAACAATTCAGGATAATGCTCCCGCATCTTGGACTCTGGCTCCCAAGTCTACTCGGATCCTTTCCGATGCTGC